ACTTCCCCGATGGGGATACGTGATTTCTGCGTTCCAATTTGTTTAGTTTAGTGACAAGTTTTTTCTTCTCTAGTTTTTCCTTTTGAAAAGGCGCATTAGTTAGCCCATCTTAAACGTAAACATAAAAAAGTAAAAAATTAACCGTCAAAACGTCGTTTTTTAGCCGTCAAACGCAGACCTCCATCGAGACCCTCCTCTATGAATTTCACAGTAAAACAATTGTTGTCTAGCAACTGTTTTTGTTTCGTGTAGTGTTACAGAAGTAGAACCCATGACTACTTTATTCACGAGTAATAAATAAAATAACAKACCGTTRCGGCCTCAACTAACTCAACTGGCGGTCGAGTAGATATAATAAATTGTCTGGCTCTCTTCTACGAGCGAAGGACGTCGAGTGGAAACTCGTTCCTTTGCAAAGAAAAATGAAATAAAAGACTATTTTGTCAAGTAATGCTGAGAGAATGAACACACACATGCTCTGTAGACATATCATGATTATTCATTTTGCTTCAACTAATTAGCTAAGAGTCTTCGTTTTCCAAAAGAATTTTGCTTTAACAGTAGAAATCGAATACCCCTACGCGAAAACAATCATCAGTCAATTGGAACTACGACGACACACGGGGAATGTTACAGACCTTTCAATGCTTTTCAAATCCAGTATTTCCAAAGCATTTGCTCTGATTCTAGACGTTCACAGGCTGGGATTCACCGGTGATGCAGAAATCTGGTCTAGTCATAGTAACTTTATTTTAACTCAACAGGATTTGMAACATGCAGATATCATTCTTCTGGTCCTTAGATCACGATCGAGATTATCTTTATTTAAAAAAAACACAATAATAAGTCGACTCAGGATATTYCCGTAAGAAGCTAAAAATTAAARTCAACTAGACCCTGTATGCAGGGCTGACACGTACCCTTTGTTGTGCATGATATTGTGAGATCATTAGTAAATGACATAAATGAGGTCTTGTACCCGTGAAATAGATATTTGACTAATAAAAGTTAATACTTGTTAATACACACTAATAGTTTTAGATAGTTTAAACTCACTTCACACCTATGTGCATAGTATGAGTAAGTCTATAGGTTATGAAAAAATGTTTTTTCTTTCTTTTTATTCAATATATAACGGTAAATAGAAAGTGTCATTTTAGTTATTTCATTTCATGTGTTTCAAAGATACATAAATTCCTTCTATAAACTTAATTAAATGAAACTAAAACTGAAACTACAAAACTGTTCGTGGACTTTTTACCATCTAGTAATATTTTTCTTTAACATGCCTCCACAAAAGCAGCAAAATTTACTGCCAATCTCTGCGGAAATGATTCTGTAGCAGTGTGGACACTCGAGGTGGTCATCCTGATCGGCTATGCTTGAGTAATTAGAACTGAGATCCCTTGAGAAGCGGTCTGTTTTGCCGTTTGGTCTTCGAAAGGACAACAGATTGTCATTTTCGTCATCTGGAACTATTTCTTTCTCTTTCACTGTCTGTACGATGGACTTCAGCATTGCGGTATCGACAGGTATTTGTGCCAACTTTCGAATGGCCTCGTCTGGAGTAGCTTGGGCGATGTCTTCTTCATAGCTGTCGTCATCAGTAATGTCGATGATTTTCACATCTTCCGATTCCTTGTCATTTGATGAATCGAGAACTTGTTGAACAACAGCATTCATGTTGCCTTGCGCTTTAGATAAAAGGGTGGAAAGCTTCACTTCTGAAGCAAACGGTAGCACCTGCTTTAGACTATGCATTTTTTCATCAAAGCTCTCGTCATGGAGTTGGGCGGTAACATGATCTGATTGTAGTAGCGGAGTCGTTGAGCTGTCAGTGTGGACTCTTGGCATCCTTTGATGCAGCTGGATGGCATTTTTTAATACCGTAAGAGGATTCATTTCCCCTTTTGCTTCTGCTACGATATCTTTGGAGTACGAATTTATACTGTTGT